TCGTTGAATTTGAAGGATGCGTTCGAGGGGACGGCGTAGGCGACTGAGTCGCAGAAGTCGAGGTCGAAGAGTACCTGGCAAGAATCGTCTAACATGTTTGTTAGCATGATTTTAGAAACGAGTAGATACGTCGTGATTTCATACCTGCTTTGGTTGTCCAGTTGAAGGCCTGGAAGACTCGTCCACCGCCTCTCGTCATACCCGCACCGGGAATGTACTCGGGCTCTTGGCTTCCTTCAATCACCACGAAACCGTTATACGTCGTAGCCCGCTGTAGGCCCCTTACGTGGAACTGGTTCTTTGGGAAATTATCATCCTTGTTCACTCCAAACTTTGTAGTAATCCTACTATCAATTGTAAAGTTTCGAGTGGTATTCACGTTGAATTGGTCCTTGATTGCACAGTACGACCGCTCCATGCCCGTGATTGGCGTGTATTCGCCCGCCTGGAAAGCGTACATCGAGAAGGGGTTCTGCTGTTTCCACTTTTCCACGGCTTCGGTCGAGTTCGAATCGCCAAGGTCATACGTGATAAATAGTGCAGACTCGCTGTCTGTATCAATCATGTACAAGAATGGGTCTGACGCGTTGTAGTTGTGATAGGGACCGTCGGTACTTGCAGCAAGCTCAAAGTTCCAGCTTCCATACCAGTCTTCTTCGAGCTTGGGTGCCGAAATGCCAATATATACGTCGGAAGTCGTGTTAAACTCAAAACTGGCATACCCGCTATTGAACAGCCCCGTTGTAAGATTTGTAATTGTGTTATCGGTAGCGCTTGGTCCGGGTCTCTTGTTCTTGGGTGAAGTCGACACATACATGACGAGTTGTGGATGGTTTCTGGATGCTTCGGTCGCATTGCCATTAGGTACGGGTTGTTTACAGGTGTTGGCTGTGATCCATACACGAGTACCGTTTGTCTGCCGTTTGCTCAGTCCCTCACCATCCTGCGCTTCTGCCATGTCTCGTCCTTCAAGTCCAGCTTCATGCGACATGTTCTCTGTTCCTCGTGCTTCCAGAGCATCCTCAGAAACTTCATCGGCGCGGCGCAAACGCAGCTGGCTTCGCTCCAGCACAAAGTGTATCGTACTTTCAGGATCAATATCCTTCTCCATCTTCTGATTGTTAACCAGTTGGTCTATCTCCTCTACTTGTCGTCCGATCAGGTCTCGATCGAGGTATCCAAATTCGGGCTCGTAGCCCTCACTTTCTACTCCATCATAACTAGCATCCCCGTTGCCCGAAAGCTCGTCGCTTGCGAGCGCATGTAATATAGGGACGTCGGAAAGGTCGGTATCAGGTGCGCCGAGGACTTCGGCGCGGGCGAACAAGCGTGGCGTAAAGGATGTCCATAGTGTAGGACAGGAAACTGCAGCGAACAGGTATACGAGCAGTCTCAACTGCAGAGTCCAAGGCTTCGGGCGTTGCATTGCCCTCTCCGCTAGGTTATCGATAGGGCAAGGGAGGCATGAGGTTTCTGTTCGGCGCAAAGGGCGCGCAGCGACAAAATGAGCGTCGGACGATTGTGCGCACCGAAAACAAAAAACGATTGACACAAACGAAGAGAGGCTTTTAGGGGAAAAGGGCTGGAGAAAGAGAGCAGTGGGGGCGCTGACTGTGAGACGTGATGAGGGACATGCACCGCCCCTCTTGAGGCCACAGTCGTGGCTGACACCTGCCAAGACATGTGGCTTCCATCATCCAATATCTCGTGAGGCATTACCTTACAGCACTCACGACACTTGGCCATCAGCGTGCTATTTTTTTCACCATTACTCAGGGACAAAAAAAGCAAACATCAAAATTTCGACTTTTGGTTTGGAACACATAATCTTAAAATGCACAATTGGCACTAATTCAATGTCACATGCTCACAGCAATGCCGATACTAGCTCCAAAAGGTATAATATTTACACGAACTGCAACATCAAACGTTGCCTATTCTAGTTCCAAAGCCATATTTACAATCCACCAGAATCTGCGGTGAAAGACCACTCGCAGACTAATTTTCCCTTCTAACAATCTACCCAAGCTTATTCAAAAGAACCAGACACTTAAGCAAGAGCAGGGTTAGCGTTCTTGAGAAGCATCTCGAAGTAAGCCTGGAACCAGGTTCCAGCCTCAGGAGCGGGCTTGAAAGCGCTGTTCCTGCCGCAGTGGGCATCGTAGCGGGCAGCGCTGGTGTCAGAGGTACCGTCAGACTAGGAGATAAGTTAGCAGTTGCAAAAGAAAATCAAGTTGGATTTCAAAGAGATGTTACGTACCTCGCCACCGGGCTTGACCCAGACGATGGCATCAATGAGGGCATTGCCAGTGTTGGTGGTGGGACGGGTACCGAATCCAGCACCTGAGACGTTGCACCAGTCACCCCACTCCTGCTGGTTAGTAGGCACCTTTCCGGAGCGGCCCTGGTCGACGATGAAGTGAGCAGGGAAACCCTCGTTCTTGAGAAGAGGAGCCAAGGCGTTGATGTAGCGCTCCTCGTCGCAGTTCTTGTTTCCTTGGGTGATGGATGGGCAGGAGGAGACGCGGAGAGCGTTGTAGTTGCTGACGTTGGTGACGATACCACGGACGCCACGGGGAGAGCCAGCAGCCTTGTAGACCTCTGCGAAGAGCTTTGCGGTAGGGCCAATGTTGGCGTCCCAGCCGAGCCAACCGGCGTGGCCACCGTCCATGTACATGTCGACGTTGTTGAAGTTGAGCGTCTTGAGGGCGTAGGCAGTGAGCTCCTTGTAGTATGGGGCGGCGCGCGAGCACTTCTGCACACCCATGTTGGTGACCATGTTGGCAAGGGAATCGGGCTCAATGGCAAGGTTGATCTTGACGTCGGGGTACTTCTTGATGATGGCGGCAATCTTGTCAATGTACTGGGTCTTGTACTTCTCGACACCACCCTCGTCAATCTTGAGTTCACCGTTGGAGGCCAGAGCGGCGCAGTCACGGTCGGGAAGGTCGTAGACGACAAAAGTACCCATGAGGTTTGCGCCAGCAGCGTTCTTGGCCTTGATGTCTGCGAGGTAGGTGTCCATGAGAGGAACCTTGGCCATGGTGTCCATCCACACGAATGATCCGACCTTGGCCACGGCGGTAGCAGCAGGCTTCAGCGAGGCTGGAAGCGAGGGCATGGCCAGGGTGTGGACTTCAGACGAGTAGTATGGGTTGGCGTAGAAGTTCTTGCCCGCGAAGGGGTTGCCAGAGGGCGCAGCGGTTGGGGTAGGCGTGGCCTGGGGCAGGGCCTGAGCCAGGCCGGCTGCGAGGGCAGCGGTAAGAAAGACGTTGGAGAGCATCTTTGAGAACCAAGAAGGAATGTGGTGAGGTGCGTAGAGAAAGAAAAACAGTGAAGTCCTCAAGCCATATTTGTATGCTGGCTGTCGACCCTTTGGGCTGGCGGCTATGAAGTCTTCATCAATCTCCAAATTGCTTCAGCCGGTGCCAGTGTCCGTAATGCCGTAGTCGAGCTCCCTTGACTGGCTTCCCCAAACCGATATTCGGCCACATGATGGGGAAAAAGCGGTACCTGAGCCCCCACATCTTCTCGAAACATGCACCGAAGACGCCACCTCATGACTGTCAAAGTCCCCACATTTGATGAAGGTGCATCGTCGACGCTGCTTCTTGGACGGATACTAGGCTATGTACTCCGGCCGCCGAGCAAGTAGTCTTGTGTTTTGTGAGTGCGCTATTCCTGAAGGGAACCTAGTCGGCGGATGATATTGGGGTAGGCCTTGGAATTGGGCTTGACATATGCTTGGCCGAACGCATGACTAGATACGAGTGGGTGACAAGAATCCCCAAGCGCTAGGCAACTTTGACTTCATCTATGGTCCTTTTTTGGGCGTTCCTAGAGGACTGTTGATCAACCAGCTAGATACTGGGCGCCGATGTTCTGTGCCACATTCTCGCATCGGCTGTTAAGTGGTGATTGCTTCTCGGCTCCTGCGTGCCACTAGCGCGCCTTGGGATACCCACACTGCATTGTTTAACACGACTTCGTCTTTTTCAATGACACTGTTCATCGTAGCTTTCCTTTTTTGTTATCTCTTGAGGTTGATTTTTGGCCGCCACTAGGTCCTGCAAGCGAATACCTGTAACCAGGCTGCATATATGAACTGATAGTGCTCGACTGGGTTGCAAGAGCACATTTCCCGGTCCCCCTCCGGCGGGTTAATCTATTCTTCTGCGCCATGTAAATTGCTGGTGCTCGACTACCGAACCAGATGACGTTACGCTCACTATTCAAGTAAACAAACTGGGGTTACCTAACCTTGAAAGAGAATGGACTTTATGTAGTTCGTCGCACGGCCAGTGTCTGCCCTTGCGGGTGGGTTTTGGCAGTGGGAGGTATAACGAACGAGGTAGTCTGGGGTACTCGACGCCACTGGCCAACGGTGTTCGCTGTCTACATCCGGATATCTGCATCTGCAGACTTGGCGCACTCGCTCATTTCTTTCTCAAGTCCACTACTTGCTGCCCACAGAACGGCTAGGCCTTTACCCAAGATTAAAGCATCAACTCTGGTGCTCACAACAATCTATCTTGGACATGAGATACCTATGGTACATAATACACTGTAACTATAGAACGCACATAGTGTTGCGGCCCTTGCCGTGGTTAGATAGCTTATGCACGCAAGATATGCACAAGTCTATCTACAAACTCAAAATACCCGGTTATTGCAAGCATCCCAACCTGGCCTCCCGGTGTCCCCCGCGCCGCACCATGCACCGTCCCTTTTCTAGCAGTTCTTCTTCCTGGCCAATAATACAGCTCTAATAACATTCTCAGAATACCTTGGCTATATATTGGAACCACCGATCACAATCACGTGCAAAAGTACTCTTGGAACTGCATACATGTCGGAGTCCACCGTCACTATTCTGACTTCATCTTATTATCCATGTACTCAGATAACATCCAAGATTCACCCAAGCCTCATACAATTTGCGAACGCACAGCCTAGCAAAAGCCCAACTTCCCGCCAGCATACTACCTCTCCTTTGTTATTCACATGACCCTATTGCCACCTTGAGCACCAAAATACCATACCACACACCCCGCCCTCGTCTCCTTTTTTACAACCAACCCCAACTTCCCCGCTCTCTCTAATCCGTCCCTCACCTCTTCATCCCGCATATCTTCTTGTGTAACACTAACACCCCTAGCCTTCCTCCCCCTGTTACACCTCCGCGAGAAAAGCAGTATCGCATCCGAAATTTGCTCTGCGACTTCTTCTGGCGATCTAGTTCCAAGCTGTTTACTGCGAAATGGAAGATGTGAATCGGGCACTTTCTTCTTTTTAATCTTCACCCCAGGCACGAAAAAAGTGTCTTCTGAAGATGTGGAGCAGATACTATTTTTTCTTTGGACTCCATCTGTGGCGGACTCATCGGCGTCGTAGCCATAGTCAATGTCGTCAGTGCTGTCACTGTAGTTGTCGCGGACGACGAAGCCATCGAGTTCGTAGGATTCGTTGCTGGGCTCGTAAGTACTGTCGTAGTTTGTGCCACGCTTGTGCTGTATGATGCGTGATGAGAAGGGCATGTGGGGAGGTGGAAAAGGGGTATGTTGATAATCTCGTGTGGCGAGTTTGGTGTCCCTATACAGGTATTCTGATGATGATGATGATGATGATGATGATGATGTAGAGTCGGCAGTTGAATCAATGATGAATGCGAATGCAGGTGGGTGAGGACGACAGGAGTTGTTGGATTTAACAAAGGGTGTGGTGTCAGAGGGTACAGTGATGGTGTTGATGTGACTTTTTGCGCGAGATGGTGAGCTATCGAATTGAGTGCAAGATGCATATCTCTGCGATGTGGCTCTTTTTGCTAGACGTGCTGATCTTCGCACGAGCTGGATTTCTCGATTGGAGATGATGCTGGGGCTACGTTCGCGGTGAAGGGAGACCCTGGTAATGCGAGGAGACATGGTTAGTCACGCAGATCTACTTTTTCAAGGCAAAATGTGATGTTGAGTTTTGCAGTTGATGGATCACAATCTTTTTATGACTATAGAAATCATACGAGCACAGTTCCAGACCTGACTTTAATAATGTCAAAAGAAAATTTTCACAAAAATCTGTCGAGATCCTGATGGTTATGTACAGGCTCATTGTGTGCTCAAGAACAAAGAGATCCTTCTTGGCCATGACAACAGCACCTTTCAACGAAAATTACTACGTATTGAACAATTGGCCCCAAGTAACAACATGAAGATGAATAGTTTGAAGCCTATTTGCAGTATATTGAAGTACATAATGCCCATGTCTTAACAGAAAACACGATCAGTTACTACCAATCTTCCTTTTGTAGCTGTTATAGCTCTCACAAATCTTACAATGAAACCGTCGAAAGAAAATATAACGCCGCCCATATGCTAGGGGGTATCGTTTCATACCAGTAGCTTTTTTGATGATGTGCTGAATACTGAATCCAGACGGAAAAATGGTTCCATAGAACGCCAGATTCATGAATGCTCCCGCATAAATTTTGGGGCCGAAGCCGGCCATGTGGACGAACGCAAAATAATAGCGCTATGCGGAAATCAATGGGCCATGGAAGTCGCGCAAAGTGGCCACTAGATCATCCTCACGGAACAGCTGCAAGAGTAGTCTTTCTTGCACTTCCTTCCATTTCCTGAGCGCATCCAGCTCGCCTTTGCTCAGCCACTTCTCTTCATTTCCTACAACATCGGAACGTTCTGCTTTGGTAAGGAGGAATTGTACTTTCTCTCGTTCGTAGGCTATGCGTTGAAGGATGCGCACCATTCCCTTGTATGTGTCGTGGAGCAGTTTTTCGCGAGCGCGCTGTCGGTCATACCAGACAAGGTGGAGAGAGTGCTTGGCTTCTCGTCTGTCGACCTTGGGAATCTCCTGAGTCTGAACAATTCCTTGAACTGTCAGGTCATTGACGATGCCACGAATGTCATTGGCGGACATCATCATGACATTGCAGATTGCACGTTCGTCGAGTCTACCCTTCTTCCGCAGGGCCCGGATGAGTTTTACGCCTAATGTTCCCTTTCTTGCTGAGATAGTGTTTTCGACTTCGTTCTGTATCATCTGTCTCGCAATCTCGTCGAACTCAATGTGCCATTGTGAGAACCCAGCGCGCGAATGCCAAGTGACAAAGTGAAACGGGTCTTCTGCCAGCATTTGTATGTGCTTGTCTACGACCTTTGTCTTCTCTTCCATGTTGAGCTTCGCAGGATCGGTTGGTGCCGTCCAGATGTTAGTTCGGTTTACATGCCCCTTTCGAGTGATTTGCACAGCTGCATTAGGGTCAAGACCTTCAAAGATATCCAAGTCCTGCTCTCGACTGAGCTTTACTGCAACATCGCGCGCAGTGATGAGAAAGCGAGGATCGATGTTGTTTTCTGTAGATGGTTCAATATTAGCCAAGTGCGGCTCAGGCCACTCTTCCCAGCAGCGAGGCGTCTTCGATTCCAGCATGCGCAACATGGCCTGGTACACACGCGCAGTGACCGATCCTAGACGTTGCTGTACCAGATGTACGAGCTGCTGTGTTCGCATGGCGACAGCAATCTTCTCCGGATTGACGCGGATCACGATGTCATCATCTGATGATGGTGCAGCCCAACCATTCGCTCCGTTGGTCTTCACTCTTTTGTTAGATCCGTTGGTCTGCCGCGCAAACTTTGGAACGGTCAGCCACTCATCGCGCATTGCGCGCTTGCGCGCCAGGGTGCCTCTGTTGACGATATCTTTGTCTTTGGTTCCAGTAGGCGTGATGCCTGCATTATCTTGTTCAATGGACTCTTGGTAGAGCATGTCGTGCATGTCTCCGGGGGAGAGATACTGGGTTTCCGTAACAGTCCTGACCCATCCGTTCTCGATCAAGGTTTGGATGAGCTCGTATAGCTCATCAATGGACGTGATATCACTATCATCCTGCTCTTGAACAGGCTCCTTGGGCGCGCCATTCTGTGTCGCCCCGTCAACCTTGGAAGCGTTGTGTACGCCGTTGGTTTTTCCGTTGCCATTTGCCAGCGTTGCCGGGTCTGGCTTTACATCCTGCAATTCAGAAGGGACCCCATTTGAAGCACCATTTGTCTTTGCGTGACCGTTTACATGGGCACCGTTGGTGCGCTTTCGCTTGGAGCCGGCGCCATTTACAGCGCCATCGTCTGACTCATCATCACTGTCGGTCTCGGGTGGGAAGTATGCTTCTTTCAAATCGGCGATGCGTGTGTGGCCTAGGGCGAGCAGGTTGGACATGACATTGGCAGCCTTTTTGCCAAAGCGATCTTCGACGAGCTTCGTGACCTTGCCAAAGCGGACGATTGCGTACGAGTTTTGCCAGTCGATTTCGTAGTAGGTCAAGGGCGCATCGCTACCGGAGTGGAAAATAAGGTGCTGCTGGAGGAGAATGACGAGGCCATATTTGATCTGCCGGGCGTTTAGGTAGGAAGCGCGGGCGATGGAAGCGAGACTCTGTCGTCCATGGCGAGCAAGCACCGAGTATACCCGCTGTGAGTGGTTAGAAAAGGTGACTCTTATGCGCCTGTCGCATGACTGGAGCAGAATTTCTCATCATGCAGGGCAGGTTGCGCAAATCTTTTTTTCGTGGTCAAACGTACAGATGCGAGTTCGCCATAGATGTCCTCGACAAGGAGGGTGCAGAGGTCCGCGAGTATCTGGAGCAGTGTTGGTCATGAATGATGCGGTGGAAGCGCATGGCGGCGGGCGCGCAGCTTACCGGAGTCTCGCGCTGGTTGTAAGACATGTCTGGGCCTAGATATTTGCCAGATATCTAGGAGGGGGCAGTGCTACCGGGGAGACATTGGTGGGGGATTAAGTGCCAAGGGGTGGAAGGGAGAGGCGGAAGCTGTGTGGAGAGCAGAGTGAATGGTTGCAATGGGAGAATGGAAAAGCGCAAGCCGACTTTCTCGAAATGGAGACGGGTGGGGTGGCTGCTCTCTGGCACCCGCACCGGCCAATGGCGAGGGGAGCGAAGGCACTTACTGGCCTTGGCGCTCTACGAACTTTGTGATGTCGACCCTCTGCATCCACCTCACCCCAAGACGTATCTCCATCCATTGCCGTCCCCCACCCAATCCACAGCCCTCCGCCCGGCGCCCTCTACACGATGCTCTCCCGAACGACCGCCTGCCGGGGCGCGCAGCGTGCAGCCCGCCAGCAGGCCGTCCGCCCGGCCCAGCGCCGTGGACTCGCTGCTCCAGCTTCAGGCTCCTTCCAGTACCAGGCCGGCGAGGCCAAGGGCGTCAAGTATGCCAGCAGAGACTTTGCTGGCCCTACGACGACGCTCGCCCTCGTATCCAAGGCCGGTACCCGCTTCCAGCCATTGCCTGGTCTGACCGAGGGCCTAGCCAACTTCGCTTTCCGGGTACGCCATTGAACATGCATCATCGCACTCATACAGCCCGGCTGACGCTCAATTGATCTACAGGGCACCGAGAGGCGCTCAACACTGCGCATTGTTCGCGAATCCGAGCTTCTAGGCGCCTCCTTGAACGCCCACCACTCGCGCGAGAACCTGGTCCTTGAGGCAAAGTTCCTCCGCGATGACCTGCCATACTTTGTCGAGCTCCTCGGCGAGGTCGCCAGCTCCACCAAGTACCTGCGTATGCCGAGCGCCCCAGTGGGGAAATGAGACGACAACGAGCCCCAGCTAACATGATGCAGCCCACGTCTACAACGAGGAGGTCCTTCCCTTGATCCACTTCGCTCACAAGCGCTTCCTCGCCAGCGTCACAGATATGGCTACCCAATCTGCCCACGGCCTCGCTTTCCACCGCGGCCTCGGCACCCCAACTGCCTCCGCTTCGCCTACCCCGTACACCAAGTACCTCGACGCCGAGACCATCGAGTACTACTCCAAGATTGCCTATGCCAAGCCCAACTTCGCCATTGTCGCTAACGGTGCTGACCACGGCGAGTTCTCCAAGTGGGTTGGCGAGTTCTTCGACAACGTCCCCAGCTCTGCTGCCCAGGAATCAAACATTGGTGCTCAACAGACCAAGTACTACGGTGGTGAGGAGCGTATTGCCCACGACGGCGGCAACGCCATGGTCATTGCCTTCCCTGGTTCCAGCTCCATCACCGGCAAGTTCTACAAGCCCGAAATCGCTGTTCTCAGCTCTCTGCTCGGTGGTCAATCAGCCATCAAGTGGTCGGCAGGTTTCACCAAGCTCGGCCAGGCCGCCGCACCAGGTGCCAAGGTCACGACCACCAGCGCCATCTACTCCGACGCCGGTCTCCTCTACACCACCATCACCGGTTCCGCCAAGGCTGTCGCACAAACTGCCCAGGCTTCTGTTGATGCTATCAAGAAGATTGCCGCCGGTGAGATTTCAAGCGAGGAAGTCTCCAAGGCAAAGGCCGCCGCCAAGTTTAAGGAGCTCGAGAACGGCCAGGACATCCGCGCTGGTCTTGAGCTTACTGGCAACGGTCTGATCCACAACACTCAACCGTACCAAATTGACGAGGTTGCCAAGAAGATTGATGGTGTCTCAGAAGAGACTCTCAAGAAGGTAAGACTATTCTCATTTCTCGGATGTATGCAATATGCTAACGAATACAGGCCGCCAAGGAACTACTCGAGTCGACCGCTTCAGTATCAGCTGTTGGTGACCTTTTCCAACTACCATATGCTGAGGACCTTGGTCTCAAGGCGTAAATACAACAATCTTGTAGTGAAGTTTAGAGGGAGAATCTCGTTTGGCCGGGGCTTGTGTAACATTATCTTGTGATAGTCCCGATAGATGCATCTCATATGAGAGTTCTTTTGTTCAGTTGGGTTGTTTGAGACTAATTGCCGTGTTAGTATGTGAAATATTTATCATTTTGAGATCAATTGGTGAATGTACTACATGTGTACGTGGGCTATGACGCAGGTCGCGGATCACATCAAACCAAACCGCAGCTCTCACGTGCCCGCGCGTCAGCCTTGGCATGTCATTGACCAGCGTCCAACGCCAACACCCAAAACACGTTCCGGCCATACACGCCCACCACAGAATCAGACACCACAACCCACGGAGTCACTTTGCGTGCTGCAACTTTCACATTTGTACTACCTATCAAAAGAAATCGAAGACGCGCGACCAGAAGGGAAAAAAAGTTGACGTCACATCTCCCTCTACCATGGCACCTACCCTCTACCCCCGCGCCACAGTCAAGAAGATAGTAAAAGCGCATTCGAACCGGCCACTTAGCAAGAATGTTGATATTCTTGTACGTCTTATTATTCCTCTCTCTCTCATATTCACCAATTGCTTGAATAGAGTTGAGAAAGAAAGTTTGGTGGCTAATATGGGATCTAGATTTACTTGAATTACGTGTTATTCATGCAAGAGTAAGTCTATCTTAGACTCCTTTTATTTTAGGAGCTTGCGGAGGATGATGGTTTGATAAGTGGAAGAAGGAGGCTAATGGGCACTGTATAGATTGATTAATGAGGCGAGCATCAAGAGTAAGCAGCGTGGGGAGAGAGGTATCTCGGCGAAGAGTGTGAAGAGGGTTAGTGAGGATGTGTTGAGGAAGTATAAGGGGTAGGGGGCATGGGATGGTGATGCTTGAGGGGAAGGAATAGCAAATGGGTCAAAGGTGTTTTGGGCGCATGGCTTGATATGATACCCGGGTTCGTAATTTCACATGTATGATGAACAGGGAAATTGATTCTATATTTTATGTGCAACAAATGTGAATACTGGATCTTTTACGCGCCCAGAGCCATGCACGTACATGATTTAAACATATACTTCACTCCTTGACGACCTTTGGCACAATCCACCCATCCGCATACCTCTTCCCCGTCCCCGCCTCTGGAATCTCAGCCTTGATACCTGATACGTTAACTCCCTTCTCCGTAACCCAATCCCTAATTTCCGTAACTACCAACCCCAACGCGACACAACTCGCCACTGCATTCTGCACATCTCTATCCCAGCTACTCTCCACACCTTCCGCTTTCGCCGCCTGCACGCCAATCCGCTTATACTCTGCAAAAGCCGCTTTCGCTGTCCTAAGCTGCCCATCAATCTCGCTCCACAGCGCCGAGTCCGAGTGCGCTACGTGCTCGGCGAAATCAGGAGAAGGCGAGGCCACATCGCCATACAGCTGAGTATGCGCTTTAAAGTCATCGAAGTCCGGGACCTCGGGAGGCTGAAGCCCTAGGAACGGTTTCATGCGGACTTCGTACCGCAGTTTCTCGGTGGAAAAGGGACGACTGGGGATAGGCAGGAGATGCAAGTACAGCAGTACGATGTAGAAGCGTGCCAAGGCTAGACTGAAGGAAGCGGTTGCTTCCGCTTCAGCGATTAGACTGGCAACATACGGTTCCGTGTCGTCTATTTGCTGCTTTTCTTGCATTTTTCCCTGGCGGAGGAGATTGAATTTGTAGGTGGTATAGTGCACTTGGACTCTACACAACAGTTCTTTTCTTCGCGTGACGATGAGAGAGAGGAAGAGGTACATTCCTGCGTATTCGTCTGGGAGGTAGATTTCTTGCTCGAAGCCGAGGAGGATCATTTTTTCAATCATCCAGAGCTTCTTGTGGTACACCCATGTTGAGAGGGAGAATTCCATGACAGCGTCGGATATACCCATTTCGTTGGCTGCGGCGGAGATTTCGCTGTCGGTTACACTCGTCTCGGCTTGCAGTATATCCCAGTGGCCGATAACATGCCTCAACATGCGCCGGACTCGACATCGGTTCTGGACCAAGGCAACCCAGAGGTCGAGATAGGCTTGGTCTGCGCGCTCTACAAAATCGTCCATGAGAAGAGCCAGCTGGAGGCGTGGAGGCTTGGGGAGAAGTGGGTTGCGCGGTGGGGAGAGGGTCCAGTTGCCAGGGTCTAGGATGGGAGAGGCAGGCAAAACAAGAGTTTTTACGTCGCCGAGCGACAACGACATTGCTGGATTGTACATTTCTGGATGGTGTAGAATGGTTGATAGATATGATCTTGAATATGTGAGGTTTGGCGGCGAACGGGACGAGAAGTGCCAGAGGAATGATTGGTACTCGAGCGGATCAAGTTTGATGGAGATCAACCGCGTGGCTTCGTGGCAAGCGGAAGCCATATTCTGCAACTTTTCTAATGCATCTTTGAAATCTAGTTCAACAATAGGCCTTGGAGGAACCGTAGAGGCGAGCCGCCTTTGCATTTTCGGACTGAAAGCACCAGGTACTGTTTGGCCGAGTTGATGAGTAGTCTTCAGCGTGTCAATAATCTCGAGTACTGGTGGCCAAGAGTAGGGCATTCCCTCAACCGTAAGATCCATGTCAAAAGCCTGAAGCAAATCTGTCCGTAGTTCCAGTCTCGATAGAATGGCCTTTCGAAGAGTGTCATTAATATCGAGATCGGGACTGCTGATTGTAAGCTTGCCGCAAATAGTCTCTAAAGACAAAAGTACTTACTCCTCTAATATGTCAACGGCAGCATCCAACTCTCTCAAAAAGGCATCCACTGGTGTGCTCACGAATAATACTCGGTTATAAGTGTGTGTACAAAAGTCCTCCTCTTCATAGTAGTCTCTTCCAGTGACCTTCGCTATCACAAGGTCACATCCCTTGATCAAACCTAAGCAGTACGCCCTTAGCACGTCTAGTAATGGCCCAGGTTTTCTTTCTTTGGGAATTTCGCCGCGGCAGAATTGCGCTTGCTCAAGTACCTTGACTTCTGGCCATAATAGCTTGTCAATGTAGACGGATGTAAAGAGTGTCTGTGACAAAGGATAGCCCGTGTGCCATGCCATTTCATAGCACAACAGTTGGTCCATGATGCCAATGAGTTCCTCTGGTAGAAGGGGTGTTAGCGTGTCATAGTCGTCTTCTAGAGTCTCTCCGGGTTGGAGGAATCCACTATCCATCTTGGGATCCATGATCTGTTGATCCGAATCAGTAAGAAGTCAGCTTCAATAGCGAGAGTCGGCTACCTCGATTGCCCCAATAGACTCAAAGAGCGTAAAGTAGTCATCTTTAACTAGTTGACCGACTTCCAGAGCTATTCTATCTGTCAGCTACTGTTTGATTCCGTAGATATAGTGGTACTTGGGTCATCGCGGGCAGCAGGCGGCTTCACGGCACAGCCCCGCCATGCCCCTCCATCGTTCACATCGGTCAACTTACCATTACATGCTCGTGTAAACTTCTCGGTCACATCATAAATCTTCGGCCGTGTCCCGCCCACCGAATGTTTCGACTGTCTCAGGGGCAAGTCAGTGGGAGTAGTCGGCTGAAAGGCAGGCGCGGGCTCTTGCGCATGCGACAGATCTGAGCATGACATTAGTCAGGTGCATAGTGGCAGCACAACCAGATCGCTCTCAATATACCGGCAATTTCGGGATTATTATTTACATCCAGGTTCTGCGCAGGGGCTGTGCTGTGGCTGTTAGACGCATCTGCCATGTTGTGAGGTGGAGTCGTTTTCCAAGGCGGGAAGATTGTGACAGCCGAGTTGCAGCTGCAGCACCTAAGACGAGCTCTGATGACCGGCACTGGTGGTCACTAAGGCAATTCCCCAAACAACTGTCTACGAGCACATAAAAAGTATTGTGAGAGACTGGGAGAGCTATTTAGCTCAGTTTGTCATGAATTGACCTAAATCCTCCCCGTACAGCTTGATAGTACAGAGTATACGTCCATCCTCCCCCAGCTCCTCTCCGCATTCCATGTCACCCTATCGTGCCCTTGTCGTCTCCTCCTGAATAGATTTACGAAGACTTGGCGGCATCGGCCTGTGCCTGGAGTGCGGCAGCGTTGAGGTCCTTTACCTCGCCCTGCTTGCCATTCTGCCCAATTCATCAGTTCCTGCCTGGTCTGTCTCCCCTCATCTTCAGGTATGCACTCACTTCCCACTTGGCAAACTTGAGTTCGCTCTCGCCCCTTCGCTCGGCAGCAATGCGCTTGTCATCCTTGAGCGAGCGACGTACGACGCGCGATGCGACGGCAATGTAGCGGTTGTAGCTGCTCAAGAGTCAATGGCGGTTCCAATGGCAGGAATGCAGCGACTGCAGGGTCGGGAAGGCGTACGTGAGACCGGCAGCTTTCCACGCGAATGCCATTGTGATGGTTGGATGTGGTTTCGTGGCTATAAACGGGTTTTGCGGGTTGCGGATGCAGTTGGCAAAGGTTGAGCTGCAGCGAGATTTCGCGGATGCGGCTCGGAGCTTGGAACATCACGTGAACAATCGCCGACAGCTCTCAAGTTACCATATCACCACCATTCTACGCACTCATTCAGTCTTCAGCAAACAACAGTACTCTGCAATGGTCTTGGATTCATGTTCATTATATTTTCATAGGCTGTCTGCTGGTAAAAGCGCAGCCGTGTCGTAATCTACAGTAACCCCTCGTCAAGGAGCACTCCTGTTCCTACGCCCGAGACCTATGATGCTTGTAGTGAACTGTGAGAAACTCAGTCTCCTACAGCTCCATGGCCTCGCCGCCCTCCGCGTCATCGCCTCCTTCTCTGTTCTCGAACGTAGCGTCTAGCCACTCAGCAAGATCCTGGCCCTCGTAAAGCGCAAAGTTCTCGCCGATGCCGCCAATACCGACGCTGGTGTTGTCGACTGTTAGCTCCTTGTCCTGTGATAGCGACTCTTTCAGTGATCTCAGAGCGTGCTTGATCAACTCCTCCCTGCTGGCGCCTTCGAACTCATCCAGATGCCTCTCAAGGTATGTTCTTGCCATCTGACTCCTGGCTCCAATACCGCATGCAATCATCTCCTGTGTAACACCGCTGGGCTGGAACTCGAACAAGTGGGGTCCCTTTGCGTCTACACCTGCAATCAACAATCCAACACCGTAAGGTCTCCGTCCATACTGCTGGGTGTTGGTTTGTGCGCGGTCTGCGATACGCGAAGTGATTTCGGAGAGGGGAATGGCGCGGTCGTACGTGAGGCGGGATGCGAGCGATTGCTGCTTCATGAAGTTGGAGAGAACGCGGGCATCGGAGGCGAGGCCAGCAAGGGCGACACCAAAGTGGGAATCTACGGGGATGATCTTCTTCTGGTATGACGAGAGCTCCTCGGCATTTCGCTGCCTGGTGTGTTAGTTGAATTTATCGACATAAAACAAGCAATGGAAGCGTCTACCTTGATTGCTGCAAGTACTGCGTGTGTCTTGCTAACAATACCTACGACAACTGAACCCTGCTTGACAGCCTCTTGTGCATACTCGACCTGAAAGATACGACCCTGTGGTGAGAAGGTGACCGAGTCGTTGTCGTAGTTGTTTCTGAACATGATGAAGGTGGGATTTGTGGGGTTGTTGGAGCCAAAGACAGGTTGATTGGCTTCACGGTGGCAAGACCTTGGCTAGGAAAATGACTGGTGTGCACACGGTGAGGTGCTGTCACCAGGAGATTGCGTTGCGGCGGAGTGGGGCAATGTGAAGTGGTCGTGATGGTGTTGCTGGAGGTTCCCGCAGCCGTCGTTGACGACGAGCTCCAGAAGCTCCGATGCTTGGCAGGTAGGCAGCACCCTAGCGCGCAACCTCACCAACAGGCGTCTGGACCACACGCAACAAGACCAACCACACCGCAGCTCTCACATCTTCGCCGGAACGGGGATCGACATCAGAGGACTCAGGCGCCTACCCATTAACGACTACTATATTATATCTGTGACATTAAGCACGATTCCAGCATGGCCGGCATCAAGACCATCATCGGACTGTCCTTCGTACGTCAAGCTGGCGCATCCTCGCGCGTTCCCTGATCGCATGCCGTCAATACTAACAGAATATACAAAAGGTCCTCGCGATAGGCTTTCTTCTCGTCATTCTCTCTGCCGCACTCTTCCACAACTACCTCACGCTCCTCGTTGTTGCGACCTACGTAATCGCACCCCTACCCAACTGGCTTTGCAGCAGAGCAGCGAACCATGATAACTTTATGGAGAGTTCTGGAAACGGTGTGGTCGACTTTGGAAGGTTCTTGACCGGCTTCTTCGTGGTTATGGGTATCGGTAAGTGCTCTCCTGGTTCACGCGTTCGGTTTGCGCCTTGGGCGACTGTGTGCCTGCACACTCACGAGAAAGCGCGAAGAATCTATTGAGGCCCTAATCAAATATAAAACTGACTCATACCAGCACTCCCAACGCTCCTGTGGCATTCGGCCGAAATCGCAGGAGGTGCCGCAGCTATGTCTATCTTCGGCGGTCTGTTGATTTACGCGACTATCATCAGCTTCACGCTGTTCTTCCAGGAGCAAGAGGACTTCTGACTAGCCGGCGGAACTCAGCAATGAGGGACCGCATACATACTATCCCCAAGCACATGGCTTGGCGCCTCGGAAAGAAGTCGAGGTACTTTGGTAATGAAGGATACATGCCTGAACGGATGGACTGTTGCTACTACATATTTTTGTTACCTGTACAGTTTTTATGAGCGTTCTTGTACGAGTATGTTGGACATAATGCATTGGTTGAGCCAAAAGAACTACGACGAGAATGTAAATGCGAACTCGTTAATCAACCGGATATGAAACATGACAAAGGCTATTGAATTAATGGAAACTAGCATCTCAAGCATATTCATACATTGCGATCATTGTCGCTCCGCTCAGCGCCTCAACGTAAAGTATCCTGCGTAACACAACCATCGTTCCGTCCGGATGACGTCGGACAAGCTATACCCAACAGACTTCAACTTCATTTAGCATTCTTACAACGCCAGGTTGTACGTGTACTCATCCTCCATGTTCTGCGCAACCCAAAGCACCGCGGAACTGTAACATGTTAGCAAGCATGCTCGCACATTCTTCCAAGACTGTGTACTCACCTCAGCATAACCAACGCATTGGCAACAACATTTCCGGTGCCCATCCATAGAGTTGGCCATGTGTGCTCTGGCACAACAAACTTCATAACCATGACCACGACACTTCCCGCCAATCCGCCGGCCAGCAGCGCGAAGCCCAGGAACAGCACTAGCCTAGCCTTCCACGCGACACCGTTTCCAGAATAGGAGAAGCTATCAGCAGAGAGTCGCGACTTGTCAATGCTGTTGATGACTAGCATGCCGAGGGCGCTGCAAATGCCCGGGACCCAGTCGACGAAAGTGATGTGGACGCGTGGGTCGGAGCCGTTCATCGCCGACTTGGACCATACCGATATGTCGATGAGGGTGTAGAAACCAAGAGCAAACTGCAAGGTGATATCAGTATGTGCATCAGCGCTGTTGACTATATGGAGTAGTTCGCACCAGAGCTCCTGCAATATAGACGCCTGCGGTCCTTGTGTTTGCGCTGTTCAGCCATGCGGGCTTCGGGAAGCGGAAAAGGCGATTTGAACCCTCCATGATGACTTAAGACTTCCGTATGCGACTGTGAGATAAATGTGGGCGCGGGCGTTGTGAAAAGTCGTTGAGCAGCAAGGCAGGACGTGATGATGCTGGGGAAGCTGTCGCTGCGGATGCGCCTGCTGGGGTCGCGCGCCTGTTGCCTTGGCGCTTGACGTTACCCATCGGCAGCTCCAAAACGCCGATCTGCCCAAAAAAGTTCCCCAGCGCTGCCGTTTATTCATTCCACTTCACGGAACTTTTCCACACACTACTCGTACCGACCCGTTTCCTGCTTTCGTCAAGATGGGCGCAACCAAACCGTCTTCCAAGGGCAAAGGCGCCAAAGGAAAATCCGGCGGCAGCTCCAGTAAATCCTCAAAATCAAAATCGAAATCGAAGCCTACTGGAAGTGCGCCAGAGGGCATATCGAAGCGCAAGCAAAAGTCGCTGTCGCTAGCTAAACCAGGTGGCGAGCAAAAGACCAAATCAATCGTAACAAGAGATGGCAAAAAGAAAAAGAGGGTGTACACAGAGAAAGAGCTAGACATCCCAGCGCTTAACGGCATCATCCCTGCTGGCATTGCGAAGCCAAAAGGCGTCAAGAAGGGAAAGAAGTTCGTGGATGATCCGGCTAGCATGGTAGGGAACTTTTCGTCTCCTTAACTTCTCTTCCGCAAGTTGCACCTCAGATGACAATCTTACTAACCACGCCACTATCGCAGATGGCCATCATGTCCGTTGTCAACGCCGAGAAGGAAGGACACCTCGAGTCCAAGATTGCCAAAGCGCGCCAGCTAGAGGAGATCCGTGAAGCCAAGAGGAAAGAAGCCGAGGCGAGGAAAGAAGACAAGGAAGCCAAATTTGAGGAGAGGAAACAGGATCTCAAGAAAAAGAAGAGGAAGAGGCACAGCGAGCCGAGTGCAAAGAATGATGAGGGAGACAAAATCAAGGAAAAGGACAGGAAGTTCAAGCAAAAGAAGAGGGTTAGTTTCGGCTGAATTGTTTGAGAACACGAGGTGAACACAGTACCTATGGAGTTTTGAGTGCTCTATGGAGCATAGGGGCGGGAGGGACAGAAAAATTGAGGAGAGCGCTAATTTTCACGACAAGAAGAGCTATTCTCGAAAACATCATGCGCAGAGAACATATGAGCAAAAGTAGCATGAGAGAAACAATCGATCGGGCAAAGGGCTAAGTCTATACGCGGTCTACGAAATCTAGAGCAAATCTATGATACCCAAATACCATTCAATGAAAATCATTACCACTACCACCCTCTACTAGCTTCTACGCCTCGGGTAATATCAGCCTTCGATGGTTTGGATCAAAGATCGGATATTTCTTTCCTTGCAACCCGCCCATGTTCACGCCCTTGTTTCCCTCGCCTACACTTTTGGATGCCTCGAAATCAACCTCCTCATTCAACTTGGTCAAAAATTTGGACGTTGCAACGGCAAACCATCTTCCGCCGCCCAGCATGAAACTTCCTAAATGGCCACCCCAGTCCGTTGTACAAAGTAGCACATTGGGATTCTGCTTCACCTCCTGATATGGCAAGCCGGCCTTGTTCGAAATAGGGTCGTCTTCGGCGTTGATACCAAGGAACGGAATACGAACCGCCAGCAGCGCATCCACGCTTTGCGAATCACGATAGTATGCGCCCTCTGTCGGATATCCCCATGTCGGACATTGAACCTGGCGGTCGAATTCGTGCAGAAATCTACTACGCAATACAGCGTCAACGTCGAGACCAGGGTTCTTGGATATCTGTTCGCGATGCTGATTGAAAAGGCCTAGGAGATTTTTACCCATGGTGCGCGAGTAGATATGGAGGCCAAGGTATGTGCGCTGCAGTTCTGTGTTGCAGACTTCGAGGTTCCAGGGGTTGCTGCAGGCAACGGCTGCACGCAGGAGGCACTTATCGCCTTCTTCGCCGCAGTAGTTGGTTAGTATGTTGGCGCCTAGACTGAATCCGACGCCGTATAGTGGTCGGTTGGGGAACAGGCTGCGCAGCTCGATGATAGTTTGTCGGACGTCCCATGTTGCACGGGCGTTGAAGAGCTGGGGTGTGGTTATTTTGGAGAGAGCGCAGCCTCGTCCGTTTACTACGCAGGCGGCCCAACCGGATGCAATAAGTGGTGCGAGGGTTTCGCGGAGATAGACTTCGTGAGATCCGCCACTGAGACCGTGAAGGGCTACCAGCATGGGCTTCGAATCTGAGCTTGCAATGCCTTCCCATTCTTCCTTGGTAAAGTTGGTAGTGCGAGCTGGAAGCGGTTCATCTTTTTCTTCTGGCGTTCTTTCTGGTGGATTTGGGCTGCCTTCAGAGAGATCCACTGCAAAATCGACGGCAAAGGTGCCTGGGTAGACGGAATGGTTTGAGTTGAAGATTTGTCTCTTATAGTAAACCGGTGGACCCGGGTCTTTGACAGCCGTGTACATGGTTTGAAGGTGGCCGTTGAAGAGGAATGGGTTCAGACGACATGGTGGAATCGAGGAGGCAGCGATCTCTTCTAACGTGGTCTTCGATCCAGTCTTTGTCTTTAGAGTCGCAGGAGATTGGTGGGATGTGTATGTGGTTTTGCTGTGGCCTAGCAACCACGATAAGTTGAACATGGTAGCTTTTGATAGGGATGCAGTGTGCTGGAAACTCGATAATGAAAGGACTTCTTTTTCTTCTTGTAATTCAATTCTCCTTTCACATGTCTCGTCCGGAATGCCTCGGGATATGAACAAAAATGGGGCTGGAGGACCCTGACTCTTTGTTAAGGCACGACGTTTGTCTGGATGTGGAGTGATCTCTCCTATGATGCGTACAAAACTGTGGAACCTCTCACCCTTACAGCTAGACGAGGAGCGAGAGAACAATCAATCGATCTCAGACCCAGGACGAAATAAATCTGTAGCGCTGGACACATTTGAAAAGAGCCTCGGCTTGTGAATCCACTAGGCCGTATCAAGTAATGCTACAAGCGCGCGTCTATCTGCCAATCGCGCTCCGGTAGCCTGGCGCGTTCGCGACTTCCCGTCCTTCGCGATTGCCCTTGTCACTCATGTCTTGACATCCTCACCCCCGCTTTCGCCCACCATGCAACGCTTTCGCATTGAATTATCGTGATACTTTTTTGCTACAGTCTTCTAATGGACCCTCGGTACAACTGGCCGCCGCAAGGCTATGCGAACGGCCAGTATAACCCATATGCGCCGCCGCCTCCGCCTCCACAACAGCAGCAACCGCCGCCCAACGGCTACCAACAACAACATGGCTACCCACAATATCCTCCAATGCATATGCAGATGCCCATGCAACAGGGTTATCCACAGTCACAGCCAGCGCCGTACCAGGTCCCGCCGCAGCCCGTTATGCCCCGGCCCTCGAATCAGCAGTACCAGCAATACCAACAGATGCCGCCGCAAATGCAACAACCACACCATATGCAGCAGCATTCAAGGCAAAATTCACAGCAGTATATTCAGCAGAGTCCCCAGCAACGGCCACAACAACCGCAGCAGCATATGCAACAGCCTATGCAACGACTTCCCCAGCAATCCCCCCAACAGCCTCCACGACAATCTACTCAACAACCTACCCAGCAGGCCACCCAGCAGCCTACACAGCGACCTCCCCAGCAACCCGTACAACAGCCTGTTCAGCGACCACCCCAACAGCCGCAGTATCGATCACAACCACAAGTAGTAATTCCAGCGAGGACACCCAACTATGCGTCCCCTATGCAAATGCAGCCCCCGCGGATACGGCATGTGCAGGTGCCAGTACAACGTACTACCAGCGCGACGATTCCTCAGACGGATGGTTCGGTCGATCAGCAACGCCGATATAGTGCACAACAGCCGCAGGCTATGTCTGTCGCGAAGCCAGTCCAGCAGTCATCGTCGCAACAAGAGAATGGACCTAGACCTCAGCCACGACCCGCGAATACGCCGACACAGAACCAGAACCTGCAACGAGCACCTCTTCAACCACAGACTACTCCTCAACAACAACGTGTACTACCCCCTACCCAGACGCCGACCAGCCAGTATGCAAGCCCGGGTACACAGCCGCCTTCATCCAAACCGAAAATGCACCCTCAGGTCGTCATACCTCGAGCCTCTTCGTCCCACCAGCTTACACCAACAAAGCGTGCACATGTTCCTCAAAAGGCCCTTCCTGCTGAACTCTCCGACCTGCTTCTTACGGCAGCGGACGAATACATTGCTGCCGCACGGGGTATGGGATCACTTTTGGGGAGCCAAAGAAAGGAAGCTGATGTCAGACAATACTACAAACTTATATCTACTGCTATGGGGTGTATGGATGTTGTGTTGAGAGATTTTAATATGCCACCTAGGGATGAAGCCAAGTTGCGCCTAAGATACGCAAGTCTTATGATAGAAGAGACGGACATTGAGGCTACGGATATTTCAAGTCGCATTGAAGAGATTCTTTCCAAGCAAATATCACTGTGCAGCAGACATAGATTACAGGATTTGAAGTTTGCTGCCCTCCATCTCCAAGCACGGTACCAGTTCAAGACGAACCACCGAGCCGGTTTGAAGTCCTTAGACAAACCAATATCTGAAGCTGAGACTTTCCAACATATTGCTTGGGTATACGCATTGCGCTTCCTCAAGGTGACACTGGCATTGCAAATACCAGGTCGTGTGGAAATAGTCATGGTTCTACAGCAATTGCACGCAATACAGGGCCACGCGGAACGACGTGGAGATCGTGCCATATATGTAGCGTGTTGTGCGCTTGAAGCGATGGTCCACCTGCGGTCTGGCGCGGCAGATCGGCTTGAGCAAGTTCAACGCGCTATTGCAGCAGCGCGGAGTCTACAACTTCAGGTTTCAGCTAAAGATCTGGGCTCTTTCGGCACTTTGATTGATGTCATTGATATTGCTAGTGGCATCCAGACTGGCCGACCAGACACACAGAAAGCGACGTCCCTTCTCGAAGCTATATTGGGCAAGAAAGACGAAAAGGGGGGTTCTGAAACTGGAGTCTTCACTGTTCTCATTGAACGAAGCTATGGTGGTAATCTGACGTTCGATACGGGCGGCGTGTTCAGGAAGAACGCCGAGAGAAAAGATGAACTCGTTTTTGCTTGGCTTCCACGAGAAGATCTCAAAGCACTGTGCTTTCACATTTGTGCTTTGGAGCATCATGTGCATGAGAAGGGCTTGATATACATGAAGGAAGCTCGTCAACGGTTTAGGGAATCCGCGAAGCGTCGAAACCCCATGGGCATACCACCTTCTCTTGCATTCGCTCAGATTGAGTGGAACATGATGTTGGAATGGTATTCGATGTTCGCTATCGGACTCATGGCTTGCTCCCGAGACGACCACGCAATGGCTGAAGATGTTCTTGGTGGACTGAAGAAGCGTATCGCTCTGCCTCCGTATAACAATCAGGAGGCTTTTGCACGCACCCTTGCATACCTTTCATCTGTTAACGATCAGGTCAATGGCGACCTTGAATCTGCAATGACAGCTTCTTCTGGAGAAGTTCTTGCAATACCGGAGAAAGGTCATGCGGTTCCAGCTCGAGCTGATATAGCAGTCATGGCAGCGTTGAATCGCTTACTCATTCTTCGCGATCCGGATCACCCACAGCATTTCCAGTCCAGCATGCTACTAGAGCAACTAAAACCCTTTTGCGAAGACCATCCAAATCAGTATATACGCATGGCTTTCCGCCTTGTCCATGCCTTCCACGGCGAAGCTGCCGCCATCTCCCATCAGAAGAAAACTGTCCAACAGGCCGTCGGCATAGCTCAAGAGATTTCTCAAAAGACGCAAAACTTTGAGTTTGTAGCCATGACAATGTGCTATTTTGTCGCACGCTTCTTCGCAGATACAGTGGGTGAGAAAAGTATCCAAGCTATCCGTGCAGCGAGATCACAGGCAATCAAGGGTCGGAAGCCCCTGTGGATGGCTGTTGCAGCTGGTCTTTGTATCAATACATATCGGCGCAATGGGCTTATGGATGAAGCGGCTAAGGCTACGAGGGAGTTTGAAGCCGTAAGACCGCAGCTGCCACTTATACTCAAAGGTGAAGGCGATTTAGATGCTGAGGGCGAGGACGACGTTGATGCGGATGGTGATATCGATATTGTCGGTTAGAAGAAGTGGGTTTTATTCTTCTCCACACATTTTCTTCTTTCTTCTTTCTTCTTCCAACTCAGTGTATGGAACATTTTCTGTTCTTGCATTTCTCTGGCGTCACATGGAGGCTTGTGTTATGTAATCTGGTTCACGATACCATGTGTGTGGGGTTTAAGCTCGGGCGCTTTGTCTACAATAAATGTTTTCCACTGTGCGAAGAAATGGTGTTTATGTAATGAATACAATTCTTCTTTTTTTGGTTGCAGTATTCTTGTACTTTTGACACTTGCCTTTGAAAATGCTTTGATTGGCGATGATCTCATACTTTTGATGATTTGAAGTTTTTAATACGCATGACTTGCTGGTGTTGACTTCACCCTTAATTCCTCGATCTGGGTATCAGAAGGGAGCGTCTCGAGACCAAAAATGTCTTCCAGACACGCCATTATAGATAGGCAGACGAACAAAGTTGCTCATGAACCACCTGTTGTTCGTAAATCGCAGAAATTGAATGACTGCGTCTTTAATTACGATACATATTCAAAGATATCCCAATATTAATTCAAAGCGTCGAATGAGCTATTTAGTGCTGTGTTTCTGTCTATTTTGGGCAACACAACGTGGTTCATCGGCTGAACATGTTCATGGACTAGCCTTGTTCGTTGGATGAACCATGATCATTGGCTAACCGCTTACAGTGTCATTCCCAATTTGCCATTTCTGGTACTTCAGTGCAATGCTATCAAATCAATATCTACTCTACGTAGTCTTCCAGGTCGTACGGAAACGCGGGGCACTTGGTACTATCTGTTGTCTACCAAGCACTTTTGACGTGGTTTGATTTCTCAAAATGTATTTATGCCTTCGGGGTATTGGAGAGTCTTACCAATAATGTGCCTTATTGAGATTAAGACTATTTATCCACAGTTATTGTCTGTCTCCTCGTGCATCTAGTGCTTGAAAAATCTGGCCAGCCTTACCAGGCAAAATTTCCTTTAAACCTCCACATGGACTGTGTTGCAGCAATGTGTTCGTAATCTTTCCCCAGTAGTCTCACAGTTTTCAGCTGAGTACAAAAATCATTGATATAGGCCATTGTTGCACGAAATACACCAATCACCCCAAGAGGCTAAAGTTTCGTCTGTATAATGATATTATTATTATAATTTTAACTAGATGTATACAGCTGTTGGCGCTCGCCACCGTCGGAACACGCAAAACCGACTCCTCCTTCTCTGCCCATTCAGCCACGAAACTGACCTTCACGACATTTAAATGTCACAGTCTCTCTCAGAAAGCGAAACGTAGTCTAGTGGGACAATTGGTGCGTTCCTGTTGTAGTCGACGCTGTAGAGGAAGCAGTCACTGTTACTGGAGAGGATGACAAACTTGCATTGGGGCTGGGATCGACAGATCGCAAGGCAGGAAGCGTCACTGTATGCGGTTTGGACACCGTAAGCAGCGGATCCGTCTTGACCGCTGGCGTAGCCTTTTTGACGGCAAATGAGAGGCTGAGGAGTGGGTGTAGGAGTGGGTGTAGGAGTGGGTTCAGGTGTAGGGGTAGGCGTAGGGGTGGCAACCGGCTCTATGCAAGATCTCTCATATAGTTGAGCTCTGGTGGTGTCGGTAAATTGAGTGACATCAGATAACGGAATGGTAAAGATATAGCAGGTTGACTGCGCGTACACGAAGAAGAACCTGCAACTGGGATTCGCGAGGCAAGACGCAGAACACGCGGAAACGGAGGACCCGGGTAGCGTAGTCTGCAGACCCCTGGATGACGTTGGGTACTTCTGAGCTCCACATGTTCCAGAAGGAGGCTGAGGAGTCGGCTGGGGTGTTGGTTCAGGGGTCGGCTCGGGAGTAGGTTCAGGAGTAGGTTCAGGAGTTGGCTCTGGTGAAGGCTCAGGCGAGGGTTCAGGTGTCGGTTCAGGNGAAGGCTCGGGAGTTGGCTCAGGCGACGGCTCGGGAGTTGGCTCTGGGGAAGGCTCGGGAGAAGGTTCGGGATAGGTCTCCGGTGAAGGCTCCGGAGTCGGTTCAGGCGAAGGCTCAGGAGTAGGCTGATGCGAATATACTACAACAGATGACGAAGCAGTGCAAGGCGGCTCTGCAGAACATTTTCCATACACTGGATTGCATCCTCTACCACAGTAGTTGCGATTGCCACCGCAGTAACCACGTTGGCTAGCTTCATGTTAGTTCCATACACTTTTCATCTATTATTCCAAAACTTACTCGCAACAGTCTCCGAACTTGGAGCCCAAGCACGTAGCACCATTGGTAGCGCAACGGCCATCTTCCGAGATTTTCGGATACGTGGAAGATCCTGATACAGGGTACGTAGCTCCCTGGACGGCCTGCACAGTGGCGAAGGCCGCCAACAGCAAAGTGTTGATGCTCGGCATTTTAACCGGTTATTATAGATGGTAATGACAGTGGATGTGTATATAAAGATAAGGAACTCAAGAGAATGTGGGGGCTGTCACAACAAGGTCTTGTGAACAGTAACGAGCATGTTGAACAGAGAGGGATCCTCTTTTTATCATAGAAACCCATCACGAGCAAAACATACACAGAGGCTTACATCTGACTCGACTCAAAGACAACAATCGACCGTGTGTGGCTTCTGGCCCAAAATCGCTCGCGCTAACCTTCGGTCTCCAACGACATCACGCGACGGATAGACAACCACCGTCAGTGGCTTCAGTGTCGAGACCTATGTTTCGTCGAGCTAGAGCGAAAGCGGTGCGATCTAAGAAATGTGGAAATGGAAGAGGCGCAAATCGCTAGTTCAAAGATTCGGCTGTTAGCGGCGTTAAGCCTCAAGCGAACCTAGTATCGGACCCCTATACGCGCCAAGCTTGGTGGCCTCATCCCCTTGAGTCTGATCTTGATTCTTTTTTTGCAATTCGCTTATTATTGCAAGTCATGCACATACTTAGTGCTATGTAACTACGAACACCCAAGATAATTCACGGGGACGCCGGCGGTGAACTGGGTGCTCGTGATACGCTAGCCTAATAGGAGACTAGTATGAATGAATTGGCTAGCAGAGAGAACGTAATAACAAGCCAGAGTTGCAATTGTGATTTCGGCAATGGTCCTGAGCTTGTTTGCAACATGTCTTCGAAGTAGTTACCGGAAGGCGATCCAGTTGTGCCATATGCACCCTGTTACGTCGGTATCATTGCCTGGGAGCCTCTGAACAGGGCTACGTCGGGCATAGCCTGCCCAGTCAAAAAGCCTGTTAGGAGGGAAGTACGATCTGAAAGATGTATCCTATCGGATCTCGGACGGTTCAGAGAACTTCCAGAAGCAATTACTTAGATGCTATGGAAGTTGGGTCAAAGCGGTCGGTACAAGTTACTATTGGACATCTTCTGGGCATTTTCATGAATTGAGTAACTATTGTAGAGAAGTGCCAAGTATGAATGATGCAGACAAGACATATATACATTGGAAGGATGATCTAAAGGCGACCAAATTTCCAGTCGAACTTAATGTGAACAAAGAACTTAGGCCATCTACTCTCTATCATTAATCACTCTCCATGTACAAAGTTACGCGGAAAGCCAAACCGGATCTATCAAAACTCATTTTCTAACGCCTGTACCGTGCGACTATCGTCGTTGATATCTCCAAATACAGAGATAGAGCTGACGTCGAAAACCTCGTCCTGGAAGTTGATCATTGTGAGAGAGATATTCGTGATAGAGGCCATTCCAGACGTATTGACAGGCCCAAACACAACTGTTTGACCCTGACGGTTTGCAGCAGTTGCAGGAGAATCTGATAATTCCGTACAATTATTGCCGTCGTTGATATCGCCGAAAATGCTGATCGAAGAGACATCGAAGACTTCGTCTTGAGCGTTGACGAGCGTGAGAGCTACGTTGGACAATGGGACTTGCGGCAGAGTAAAGGGGCCAAAGAGGGTTCCCAAGCCAAGTAGGCGCGCTTCGATCGGTTTGGCTGGCGGCGAAGGAAGGGCGCTGGTCGCACTACTGTAGAGTAGTGGAAGGATCATGACGAGAGACTTTGCGAACATAATGGAAGATATAGGACAAGATAGAGTCTGGAGTATCAAGTGTCTTGGGATAGAAAGAAGTCTGTACAATGTTGAGAGAACTGCTTGATGCAGGTTTGTAGGTCCGTTTCACGGCTTTTGTATTCCTCTACGTTCAACATAGCCATTTCAACTACACTTCACGGGCCGATATATCTTAGGTTTAATCGAGACAAAATCGAGCTTTTTCACTGCCATCGGCGCATTGTTTTCGAGTCAAGAGTGGGATGGTCTGTCGGCAGCCCATTGCCAATGACATTATACTACCTTTGCTAATCTGTGTTGTTCGGGAACTCTGTCAATCATAAGCCAAGACCTGTTCTGATCATGTGTTCTCATGGGTGACGATTATATCTAGACAACATCGTATCTGATGTATGGCACGAGGCTGAGTCGGTATAGTTTGGCCGATATTGTATGATATCCGGTTCGGCCCGCACATGTTGCGCGTCTTGGTAACTACCAAACTCTACTAAGTACTCACTAAGACCCTGGCACTGAAAGAAAAACATTCGCTTCTCCTTCTCGAACGGATACTTATAAGGCCGCTCGCATCGAGCTCCGCAGCAACCAAGAATTCTTGGACATTTGGAAACAGGCACGAACGTCAATTCGGAGTGAAATTTCGTAGATATATAGATGCACCGGTTAGTGTGCTTTGAGTTCAGACTTGTGCTAACACACAAGGGCATGTGACCAAAGTGCTTCAGTGACTTTCACCAGACCACTCGGCCAGGAAATAAAACCATGAACTGGTGCATCTACGTAAGAGGTCACTGTGAACTCACTGCCAAATTCAAATTGCATAGAACATTGAATGCATATAGTTTCTTAAAGAAACTGTATCCTTATCACTGGGAAACGCTAACCGGTCCGTTTGGCCAGCACACCTAGAGCAGCCACACCGAAAACTACCGGGCTATTCGTCTAGATTCGGGCAGAAAAGGAGTCCTGTCTGCATAGCCACTGGATATACTCCAAAGTAGTATCAGCAACGGTCGCAAAGCGAATCTGCCTTTGCCAGCACTAGAATCTGCACTGCCGCTATCAAACGACCATAGCAACCACTATGTAATCAGCCTAAATACAACCAACTCCTCGGTACTGCATATATAATAGACCCTGATTCATCCCTAGTTCAATCTCATGTTCTGACTACAACGGCGAATCAGTATGAAGAAGGTACCATGACCGCCAAGACCAATACCCCAGACTTCCCCAAGCTACGCCAACTCGGAGCACACAACCAATCAGTAAGCTATTCCTCCGAGCCTAATCGGAAACAAACAAAGTATTACATGTATGTCTCAGACAAACAAATCTATACCACTCAGCCTCCCCAAGAAAGAATGGCGCCTAGAACTCAAGATCACAGGGTTCATCCAGTAGTACGGATAGGGACTATCTATATTAGGTGAGCCCGTGCTAATAAAGCCCTACCTACCACAATCTTCCTGAGCCCAATATCAAGGGCCGATATTAGCAACAACTGACTATCTTATGAGCTGGTTACATACATACTTACCACGTCCCCTGGTCCCATATCTCCTCAAATTGCGCAACCGCTAGGGCCAAGAATGAGACATGCCGAAATACACAGACACACACTCCACGCTAATATCCGAATCAAGTAGGTTCTCGGCCTTGTCACACTCTTGGTACTATCCTGTTCGCAGCGCGGAGCCTTTCCGCACGAGAGACAAGTAGAACAAACTAAACAAGGATAAGTAGACCTGGAAGACGACGGAACAAAAAAGGTGACAGACGGGGAATCTTTCTCTATTGAGCACGCGACTTGTCATGGGTACTTTGGACACTTGCTGGTCTAGCGTAAAGTTTGAACCCCCCCTTCCCAAGACCCCCACGAAAGTACCTCATGTACCCTCACTCATATCTCAGCAAAACAGGATAATATAACAAAAAACCAGCCTGAGTCAACAAACCAGCACGATATCAATCAAGCAACTATTACACAGCAGGGCTACAATATCCACCCCATCCTCTCCATAACTAAACCACCCCTCTCTAAACCCCCTCCTCCCCCCATCCATATCTACTACGCACCCATCTATCCCCATCCAACCTCGCCCTTACAAAAAACAAAAAAAAGAACAAAAAAGATGCTATTCCGGTACCGGGAGTCGAACCTAAGGTCGATGTTAATAAGCGAATAATTTATGAGATGATTTGGAAGTGCTTACCCGGCTCTCGTCGGGCGCTCTTCATCCAGCGATGAAAGCGACGGATGCTAGCCGATCTGAATTTGTTATTAGTCTCTTTGTTTGCAAGTTGCGGAACTTGTTGAGGTAGAACTTACACACCATACCGGAGAAGGTACTCGATGGAATGTGGCAAAATTTTAAGGACTATATTCAGAGAATTGAGTTGATTGTGGGGAAGAATCAATTAGGGCCCCGCTTTGCGAAAAGACCGGGTTGAGTATGAGCCCAAGTGCGAGGCTAAGAGGATTTTGGAGGGGGATGGATGTTACGTAATGCACTGGATGAACTTGGGTTCCCATTGTTTTGCATCTCACGACATTTAGCGCTTCAGTCGGTGGAAATGCAAAGTCTCCCATCTACTACTGTTCTAGTTATGATTCCTTGGGCACAAGCTGCAGCCTCACGAATAGCATCTTACATACGTACTTCCATAGGTAGAAGAAAAAAAAGAACCCCGCATTCCACCTTCATCCACAATGAAACAAGGTTTACCAGTAGGATTTACATGCATGGCAGTAAAAGAAAGGGAGCAAGGTTTCGCGAACAGATAAACGCCGATTATAACTTAGCAAAATAATCATACACATCATTACAATGGTTTTTATCGAGCCTGTCATGAAATGACCGCCGTACTGAGAGGGCATAACAGAAGAAACCTCCTCACGACGAATAGCGCCATGTTTCTGCGCCATGGACCTTTGAGTCGGGCTGCGATGGCTCCGGTGCAGGCTTCTCTTGATTGGGTGCAGCTGCAGTATCAGCCTTGCCGTCACCCTTCCCATCATCGCTGATGGGGCTGGGCGTCGGTCGCAGCGGCTCTTGTGGTGTTGGAGACGGCTTTTTACTTTCGGGTTCCTCTTTGCTCGCAGGTAAATCTTGAGAAAGGCTCGGACGAGGACCTGAGAGCGGATAGCGCGGCTGTGGCTCTTGTGTTGAAGGTGCAGTCACCGAAGGCTCGCTTGGTGGGCCAGTTGTTGTCGCCAGCTGTTTAAGCATTTGTTCCCACTTTGGCGCTTCTGTCGTCTGCGTTGTCCGCGCCATTTCGCGCTGGAAAGCATCAGATGATTGAAACTGTGCTGATGGCTTTGGTACAGATGGGCCTGTAGGCGGTGGTCCG